TTTATTCGCCAAGTGTGATTGGACACACAAGGAATTGATCTTTGTGCAAATGCTTTCAGCGTACATAAAAGAAAAGATACATTTGTCAAGAGTCAAGAATCATAAGGTACAGCATTTAATAATAGTCATAGGGTACAATAAGCAATCAAATAATACTATTAAACAGCCAATATAAATTGTAAGGATTCAAGCAACAAACTTATAGTCATACAGTCACAAGTGGTAGGGGATGGGTGATAAAGAGTGGTGAGAAGATTAATACTAATGCAGACTTTATAAATAGTGTTGAGGGAATTATTTAGCAGAATGATGGCGTTTGGGAAAAAACTGCCCTTGTGTCTGGTTGTTCTGATGTGCAATGCTCTATAGCATCATTTTGAGGGTAGAAATTGAAACAGTTTATGTCCGGGATGTGAGGGGTCTGTAAATATTTTCACAGCCCACTTTTTGACTTTTGCAGTGTACAAGCAGGTTGGTAGTAATTGTTTTTTCTGCAGTCCTAATTACTCTCTGGAGCCTGTGTCTGTCTTGTTGGGTTGCAGTACCAAACCAGACAGTTATAGAGGTGCAGATGACAGACTCAATAATTCCTCTGTAGAACTGTATCAGCAGCTCCTTGGGCAGTTTGACTTTTTTTTCCATTAACAGTTGTAGTATTGTTATTTTTTTATCATTCTGTTAGTATCCCTGCCTCCTTTTTCATCATTTTTTTTGGACATCAACATTTATAGCATGTGCTTCAGTCACACTCTTTAATATTTTGCTATCATTTCCATACTAAGCTTTAAAGTAGCCATTCCAACATTCCCTTGTTGCAGTTCTGCATCAGCTTCAACCCCTCACTTTTATTCTTAATTCTGTTAATTCCTTTGAAGGATCCTTTAGCTCTCCTTACTAATTCCCCCCACAAAATTTTATTTTTGCCAAAATTGCCTCTTTCAGTTGTATTATTTCTTATTCTCTTTGATTACATTCTTTGCAAATATCCTTCTTTTGACACATTATACATAATTTTTCTCTAGTTATTTTTCTTTGTATCAACTTCCAATATATTGTAATACTTTTCAATTTACTCCAAAAAACTTATATTTATGTCCACTTTCCATTCGTTCCATTAAGATTAATCTGTCTTCTGATATCTTCTAATAGAGATTTCTTAATTTTCCTGTAATTATTCTATTTTTATTCTAGATTTCTTCTCTTTTTTTCAGTGCTCCCTTTCCCCAATCTTTTTAAAATTTATTTTTATTGTTTTTAAATTAATGATAAAAAAGGAAAACAAGTCCAAACACAATGATAAAATTACATATACTGTCAAAAGGAAAAACACATAGAAAGTACGTTTATTTTTTTTAAAGTGGAAAAAGAGTATGATATTCCACTTTAGCAATGAATAATTACAATTCTATATATAGTTATCTAGTGAAATTATTATTCAAATACATATGTTTCTAATACAGAACAGCTATGTTTTTAATCTACTCTATTTTCTAAAAATTGGTTCTGTATTTCATTATATTTTGTATTCCATACAAAATTTATGTCTACAGCAGTATTTCTTCAGCAATTTTCAGGTGTATATACTTCAACTACTAAAATTCCCTAGTCAGCATGGTTGGGTAAATTTTTATTTGGGGAGTAGCTGGTTGACTGTAAATGGGTGGCAGGGGAATTCTGGGAATTGAAGCCCACACACCTTAAAGTTGCTGAGGTTGAGAAACATTGATCTATATAGGTAATTCACTCATAGATGGCAAGTGCAATTAGGTCTTTAACTGATTTGTGTGAAAGAGACGATAATATCTTTCCAATGGTGCAAAATTAGTCTTTTGGCCACAATAAGGCACATAACATCCATTCACATTATCCAGTTGCCAAAGTTGAGAGAATATTACCATCTGAAAAAATTTGCTTTTGTTGCACAATTATATTTATATATAGGTAGTCCTCAACTGACAAGCACAATGAGCCCACAATTTATGTTGCTAAATGAAGCAGTTGTTAAATGAATGTTGCCCCATTTTATGACATAACGAAGTCTAGTAAACTGTGAATATTATTTTTACTGTGTTTTTTTTCTGTATAAGTTGAGGTCTATTGACACACTTGGTAGAGAAATTAAAACACTCTTCCATCGTCTAGGCAATATAGTAACCTCTAATTCTTTATTCCACTTGTTTCTTAGAATCTGCATATTTATAACAAATAGCTATAAAAACTAATAGGTAGTCCTCAACTTACAACAGTTCATTTAGTGACTGTTCAAAGTGACAATGGCTCTGAAAAAAAGACTTATGACCATTTTTCACACTTATGACCATTTCCGCTTCCCCACGGTCACATGATCAAAATTCAGACCTTTGGCAACTGGCTCTTATTTATGACAATTTCAGGGTCCTAGGGTCCTGTGACCCCCTTTTGCAAACTTCTGACAAGTAACGTCAGTGGGTAGCCAGATTCACTTAACAACCATGTCATTAACTCAACAACTACAGTGACTCGCTTAACAACTACAGCAAGAAAGATCATAAAATGGGGCAAAACTCACTTGACAAATGTTTCACTTAACAGAAATATTGGGCTGAGTTGTAGTTGAAGAGTATCTGTAGTAAGGTTTTTTTTTTCAGTTTTAAGAAATTTAATCAGTTGTTCTAGAATCTCAGGTCTCTCAAAAGTTGAGAATGATGCAGGTCAATTTGTTAACAAATGTTGTACTGTAAATATTGCCATTACATCTGATAGTTACCTCCTAACACAGCATACATTAAAAATTATCTTAAATTCAGATGCCAGGTTGATTCTTAACACTTCCTCCCAGACGGTTTGTCCTGCATTCATATCCTCTCATTACCTTTGCATTCTTAATTATTTCATTTTTCTCAATATTTCATCATAAAACGTCAAAAGAACCACACCTTTGGAATGATATTCATTACTTAGTAGATCAATGTACTTATGTTTACACAATGTACAGTATTCTAAAGGAACATATTTTCCCCCCAAAGCAAATCCTCTAATATCACCATTCCCTTTGTCAAGGGGTTTGGGAGGCTGTCCCGAAATAGCCTCTTGTCTTGCTCCTACGCATTCATTCCACTGAACAAAATCACATTTGCATTCATTTAAAATGTTGCACAATTTCTCAAGTTCTTTAAACAACATTTAATGGAGTGTGATATGCAAGCATTAATAATGCATGGACTCTATGCAGACAAAAGAGCCTGTATGCTACCAGTCCATACTTTATGTCACACACTTTAGTTCCTTCATTTATAATTAAGAATCAGACTACCTTTGTTCATCCATATACTCTTCCTCTTTCTCCTAGTTTCAGAAAGTACATTTATTTTTCTTTCTTTCATTTAATTTCTTCCCTATTACTCTTGCTTGCATGCCCTATGGAAAATGTGAACATCACTAGCTCAGATATTGAACTCTGCTGCCCATCGTGGCTTTGGTCATTAGAGACTTTCCAAATGAGATAGAGAATGTATAAACTAAGTACCCAACCTTAGTTACACTTTTACTGCTGCAACATTTCCTGCTAATAGTAACTGCAGTATTGATAGGTTGGACACATTCTGGCCAACATGCCACAGTGTAAGCTAGAGCCAATTTCATTGTATTTATGCCCATGAAGCCAGGATATCAAATCTAGAAATCATCTTGTAAGTCAAAATAACAAGACACTACAGTATATGTACTATTGTGGACTGATAGACACTCAGGGGGAAGGATGGATAAGTTTCTATCACTATTTCAGGGGTGGGCGGGAGATTTTTTCATGACTTGTTTCTTGATTGCAATATGGGTGGGGCCAAGTCATTCATATCGCTTTACCCATTTTTCCAAAGAGATTATGGATTTTAAATGCGAGATGTCTATTTAATTTCCACGTATTTCTCACCTCACAGTTGGCAAACAACTGTGTTGTTTTTATAATCATGATCATATAGGGCTGTGAGGTTCATTTAAAAAAACTACTGCAAAATTCTGTGCTATTGGGGTGATTGCTAATAGAACATTCAAAGTAATTATGAAATTAATCTAGAAGGGGAAGTTACTTGTTTTCATATTATATCAGCTATATATTTTGCTCAAATACCAAATTCTTTTCAGGTCGATATGCTTTCTACCTCCTCATTAAAATCTGCCAATGACAAAAAATTAAACAAGGAATGAAATAAGTACTGTAAATTTAAAGCTTTTCAGTTAAGTGCTAATTATATAGTCAACAACCACTCGTCAAGGATTGCATTTATAATATATTTAATACATATAATCTATAAGGCTTATATTGCTCAATTTTTTTTGTCATATAATTGAAAATTTATTCAATGGAATTGGATAATTTAAAGTAATCTTATTTTGGGAGGCTGTTACATATGCTTATATAACAATGCATTTTTTAAAACAACGGTTGATCAAAGAAACTGCAATGGACTGATTGGGGTATAATGGTAAACTATTTTCACACATTCTTCTGAACTAAATACCAACAATACTTTTTCATTGCTGTTAATCTTTAATAAATGTCAGCTCATGCTAAAACATGCTGTTGCGGCAACTCCAGATAAATTTTCAATGGACACCATATATGACTTGTTCTTCTGATATACAACCCACAAATATATTAGTTTACATAAATGTGTGTCATTTTTAATAGCAGCCTCATATCAAATGCCTTGTCTTGCTCTGCCAAATTCTTTTTCATTTAATCATAAACAGAAGGTTTATTCTTCCTTGCAAAAATTTTCACTGTTCTTTTGATTTATTTTTATAGTACTTACCTTGCTGAAATTGTGTTGCAAGGACCAATTAATTATTGCTTGTAAAGTCACAGAAATTCTTGGATGAATGTATTATGAATGAAGAGCATAAGGCACTGTTAGGGTTATGATTCCTCCCTTGAAATCATACTACATAATGAAACTTTTGTCACCAGGACTCGTCCAACTTGTTTTTATTTATCTCATTGGTGGCTTCTTTTTTTAACCGAATACAGCTCATAAAAAATCTAGTCCTTGCAGTGATGCCACACTACCTACTGTGAACGCAGCCCAGCACAGGAGGAGCAGCTCAGCTACAGCTGGCACCAACAGGTAAGAGCTCCTTTTTCAAAAGGCAAGACAAGAAGCTGCCACCGAAGCAATGGGCATTGTATCATTTGGCTTCCATGCCACACTTCCTAGATGTGGCAGACTATCTTCCCCAGCTGGCTTTGGCTTTCTGGTCAGTTTTGACCAAAAGGCAGGTTTTTCTCCTTTTCCACTTGTTGATTCTGGGAGGCAGCTGGAAGGGCAAGAAGGACTATTGCCCCAAGCAGCTCAATCAAACTCCCTTCCAGGGGACATTATTACTGCTTTTTTTTTTCAGGGTGCATTTGACCAGAAATATGGGAAAGTGACTGCAGAATGAGAACTTAATGCCTCATTTTCTCTCCATAGATTTTTAGATTGGAGTTGAGAGCGAGAGAAAAAACAAGACAATTTAACTTTTCTTTCGCTTGGAAATCTGTTTCATTAAATTAAGTACAAACAAGCTTAGGAAAAATTTTGCTTTTCGTTAAATAGAAGACATAATCCTCTGCAGAGATTTTTTTTTTGGTTTGTCAGTTTTTTTCCCCCTCTCCCTTCCTTTTTATATTTTAATAGTGCAGACATTGTTGTACAGGGTGACTGGATTTGGATCTGAACACACTCATCATTTTTCGTTTGTAAACTTGTTGTATTTTCCCACTTCTACTTTTTCTCATAACTGAAAATTAATGGAGCTAATTAATTAACTATTAATTAATTGTTACCATTTTGTTTTTATTGGTACTTCTAGGGTCTGTTTTTTTTCTTTTAAAAGATGAAATAGTTGTTTGTGACAATTTACATCTTGAGACAAAACTATAAGGGGACTATTTATTTGGGAGATTTACAGAGGGCTTTCAGTAACATGTCCTGGGAAATTTACAAAAAAGTAGGCTACTTGTCTATAAGCCTTTGAAAACTATTTGGGTTACATGATATCCTGAAGATGTTCCACACTTGCTGCTATTGTGCTGCCACTATTGAACAGTGATTGCATTGTATTTGTTTGTATTATGTTGCAAAGTCTGAAGATGATTTTTCTGTAAGCTCTGAAAAGAGAAGTTTTCAATAAAAACTTGAAACAGAAAACAAGAAATCTGGATGGTGGGCGTTGAAAACAGCATAGTAAACTAGATACAGACTTTGGGCATTAATGCAAGGAAGGCAGCTAGTTAACAATTGCTGTTTGTTTCAGAAGTCTTCTGTCAAGGAAGGCTGTTTATTACAGGAATAACACATTCCAAAGCTTAACTACTTTGTTTCTCAGTAAAGCAAACAAACAAAAAACACCTCACACATGCATGCATGCACGCGCACACACACACACACACACACACACACACTGAATTCAATTTCTTCTGAGTTGGGGAACTTGCCCTTTGAATAGCCTATTTTGAAGGAGCACTGATCCTGGAGATAGGGAAGGAATGAAGGGGTTTCCAGAAAAGGTTACATTATCTCTCCAAATAACCTGCCTTGATTTTTTTTTTATTATAAGAAGAAAGCCCCAACTTTTTTTCAATATTATGTTGCTGTACCTACCTTGAAGATTTTGTTGCTCTTCTTACCTAAATAGCTGACACCTAGCAGGGGAGGCACACACTCCCCAAAAGTATGGATTGGGGTAGGACATAAAGTAAACCTGATATCAATTCATTTTCATTTAATTAAACTTAAAATTATAATTTCATCCTTTCACCTGGATGGTGCTGCATACCAGAGCATCTCCCATTTAAGCCATAATCTTCTACCTGGAGAAGACATTGAGAACAGACACTGTTCTGTATACCTGACAAGTTTATTTTAAAAAATTTTCTTCTCTGGAAAAAAGAACGTTTTTCACCAAACTGCAAACGTTAAAAAAGCAGAAAGAAATTTCACCAGTTCTGTTTGCTTCAATATGTAGAATCTCCTTACAGTAAATAAGCTTCTTTTATGAATCAATATCTGGACCAGGATTGCTCTCTTTTCTATTCTAATCTCGGTATCCTATTTGATTTACAAGAAATGTCCTCAGGATTAGGGTTGTAGAATCCCACCAAAAATTTACCATTTGTCAAAATGTCTTAGCCTTTCTTCCAGCAATTCATGCATTTTGAAAGAGCACACCTACCCTTCTGTATGTGAGCCTATTGGTTGAGTTTAATCCCTGTTTACCACTTATCTGGTGAAATGAACAGAGGCTACTTCTTCCACTGCATTACTTCTTCTGCATCAGCCATCTGAGTAAATTTCTTCTAGAAAATACCCCAGCTTGAGCTACTGCTAGATAAATCTTGCTTTCAAAATAGTGCTGAAATAAGACTAGCAAACTTGTTGGATGATGTGTGCCCAACAGAAGTTCTTAAAACCATTTTTTAAAAGTGTGCATTGCTTCTTTTTAAAATCGATATTTATACTGAGGAAATTTTAAAAGGTATTAGAAGAAGATACATTACAATGAACTGAACAAGTATTTTTATGAAGAGTTTAGGTTTCCTTTAATGTTGATTAGCAAAGCAGAGGGAACTGATTATTAAGACCACTCTGATTTCTATTTTGGCATTTGTGCTTCCTTTTTATTCAATTGCATTCTTGCTTTTCTACTTCTGTAAATTAAAAAGTAGCAGAATGGAACCTAGAGACAGTGCAGATGAATTAAAAGGGGGAACAAACAGCTATATTTATGTGACTTGTACTAAATCACAAAATAGGGTCTATGTAAAAAAGTAGTTTCATGTTGCTTTGTAATATCAGATTTATAAGTGATTAGAATTAAGGCTCAATATAAACAGATAGCTGTTTTGTCCTCCCAATTCTTTATTTTTTAAGTTGAATTTATTTATGAAAATATTTATATGTTATTTATATATTATTATATGTCAGTGTGGAGACTTTTACTTCCACAATTTTAGTCTAACTATGTATGATGGATGGTATCTATAAAGGGTAATGTAGTGGTCTACAGGAAACATCCATTTCATAGGAAGGAGAGAGTGCATTTCAATGGAGTGTGTGAAGAGGTGAGGCAAGAGACAAAACAGCCTATTGCTGGATCAAGAGACAGAGAAAGAGTTAGGAAAACCACTCCCTAAAATCTCCTAGGATATATTCCTTAGGGAGAGAATAGTACTGGTTTAATCTAGAAAGATCCCCCCATATCTATCTACACCTCTCTCTCTCCCTATCTATCTATCTATCTATCTATCTATCTATCTATCTATCTATCTATCTATCTATCTATCTATCATCTATGAGGAAATAAAGACCTAAACTTTGGCTTTTGTTCTAGGTCATTTTTTGTCTGGGCCTGACACTCAACTGGCTCACAACTATTGGAATTGTTCCAGCTGTTTGAATGGCATCAGCTAAGAAAAACTGATACCCAATACATTTTTTTTAAAAAAATGTGAAGGCCTTAACAAGTTTACTTCTTCAGATGTTCTAGATTAATGTATAGAAATTGGAGTAATACAGAAAGGGCCAGCATAGGTGACCTACTTTCTACTGATTTTCAAACTCTTATATTGTCAGGCAAATACACGGGTTATTCTTTAAATTCTTAAAAGAGTTATACTTAAATTGGATTTGTGCTGCCCTCAAAAAATGGGTTCATAGGACCAGTCCTACAATTAGCAACAACCCAAGCAATGGTAACAGATTGGAACTTTACCACACTTACTTTACTCCTTATCCTCCACACTGCCATCTAAGTAGCCTATGGAGATACTTACAATGACCTCCTTTTGAATGTCCTTGGCTTTGAGAAGCTTCTATGCTCAGGCTAATATGTCTTTTGGAAAACACTGCATATTTTTTCCCCTGCTTCTATATTTGGGAAGCAACCTGTGCAATTTTTTGGAACTGTCAATTGGCAATGTCAACTCCAATAATTAATTCAGAGCAAGATACTGTGAGTGAATTATCTCATTCCACATGTCAAATGTAATCTCTGAGAAGTTCCAAACATCTTATTTATTTAGATCTGAAAAAGAAAAATCAAATGATAAAGCACTAAATATTTCAATAGAAGCTGTTTAGAGCTTATTTGTATTTATGGGAGAGGATTTATTCCTATGGAGAGAATAACTAATCCTCTTCTATCCAAAGCTATGAAAAAATCAGCCTTTAAAAAAAACACACACTCACATCTCAGCCTCTAATAGGTTCAATGCAGTTCAATTGCCAGAGGGTGTGCATTTTACAGATAACAGATAATCAGAGTTGGGACCTTGTAGGTCATCTAGTCCAATCCCCCGCCCAAGCGGGAGACCCTACACCATTTCTGACAGATGGTAGTCCAATCTCTTTTGAAAGTCTCAAGTGATGGTGCTCCCACAACTTCCGAGGGCAAGCTGTTCCATTGGTTGATTGTTCTCACTGTCAGAAAGTTTCTCCTTATTTCCAAGTTAAATCTCTCCTTGTTCAGTTTCCATCCATTATTCCTTGCCTGGCCTTCAGGTGCTTTAGAAAATATCTTGACCCCTTTCTCTCTATGGCAGCCCCTCAAATATTGGAAGACTGCTATCCTGTCTCCCCTGGTCCTTCTCTTCACTAGACTAGCCAAGCCCAGTTCCTGTAACCATTCTTCATATGTTTTAGTCTCCAGTCCCCTAATCATCCTGGTTGCTCTTCTCTGTATTTTTTCTAGAGTCTCAACATCTTTTTTGTAATGTGGTGAACAAAACAGTGGTCTTACTAAGGCTTTATAGAGTGGTCTTAGTACCTCACTTGATCTTGACTGTATCCCTCTGTTAATACAATTTAGGATTGCATTAGCTTTTTTGGCGGCGGCTGCACACTGCTGACTCATATTTAGCTGGTTGTCCACTAAGACGCCAAGATCCCTCTCACAGTTACTGTTATTGAGCCTAGTTTCACCCAGATATTGAGCCTGGTTTCACACAGCTCATGTAAGCATGTGGCAAATGCATTGTGAGCTGTTCACAATACATTTGCCATATAACATGCTGCTTGAATACCTTTGTCCTGAACAATTTCAGTTTCTTGGATCAAAATATGATTTTGTTCCTGGCTTAGATGAT